GCAGATGCCTCAGAACCAACTAGATTTTAGCTTTCGACGCGTGGGTCACTGTCCTTCGCAGAGGATTGGAGAGACGGCAGCAGTTTTTGCAGTCATTCATTTTAAGTGGGTGTACTTTGAAACACAGGTGGCGTGGGCTTCACTTAAAGTCCACCAAGGTGGCCCGGCATCCCGAGGAAAACGTCCTTCAAGAAGCTGAACGCTGGCTCCCTGGTGCATTTATATCATCACCGAGTGGAAAGCCTGGGCCGAGCAGTTTGGCTCAAGTCCCGTTTCCAGGGAAACATTTACTAGAGCGCTACTCTGATGCGCGAGGAAGAGAGGGCTTTAGAGGGGGTTACACCCCTCCCGTCCTCACAGCTGAGGCGGTGGCGGCTTCTCCCGCAGGGCCGGGCGAGGCCTGCACGCGGCCAGCTTGGTGGTCGGCGCGGTCACCTGCTGCCGCCTCTCAGTGGACAGGGGCGCAGGGAGTGGTCTGGTTCCAGAACAGTGATGGTTTCCCGTCTCCTTTCCAGTCCAGAGAGCCTCGTTCCTTGCTGCTAGTGATGAAAGCCCTCGGCCCTTGAGCGCGGCATCCAACGGTGACCAGCTGGAGGAGCAGGCCCTGGCCCAGATGAAGTCTTACAGCAGGTCGGTCACCCCCTGGCAAGGGCGCCACTCTACCACGCGTCACCTCCCGGTGACAGCAGACGGGGGGCCGAGGCGATGGAGGCCCCTGGATTAGCTGAATGAAGCTCGGCGCTGCGGGCCAGACACTGCACATACTAGCTAGAACTCTGTAACTCAGCATTGGCGACAATTAAACCTCTCGGTAACTTAAAGTCGTAATTACGAATATTCATTCTTTTAATGCCTTCATACATGTATGCCCTCAGGACTTACTCGGTAAGGAAAACCACTCATTTGCACGAAGACTGCCCCGATTCCTTGCATCCATCCTTGATCTGGTTCTTGAGTCCTTTCCCAGCCGTCAGTTGGTTATGTTGGTAAAGTGCCTGGGTCTGAGCTGCTTCAGCTCTCTGCTGGAGAACTGGGTCACCAGGATAGTTTAGATTATATGTAAAAGAAAAAGTAAATAAGCAATAATGGGGACCAGGGGATTTTTTTTTTTTTTTTAATTCTTTAAAAGCCCAGACTTCACTTCTGTTTAGCTGTGCAGAGACTGACTTTTCCATTTCCCCTTAGTTTCAAACAATGAGGTTGTTGGACAAAGGAGTGCTACCCAGCACGTGAGAGCGACCAGTAGTCCGCTCAGGGCCAGAGCCCTCCTGGATACAGAATTTTAAGAATTTGAAATCTCTTCCCTTAAAACTGTTTAAGAGTGATTAGAATCCAGGTGTCTGTAAAACTTAGAGACAGTAGGGGAGGATGGTATAGATGGCACAGCTGTCCTGTGGACTCAGCGCGAGGACTTCCCTCCGCGTGGCGGGTCGTTTGTTGTGAAGCTCAGAGAGGCTAGGTGAGCGCGCTCCGTGTGCCTTCCTAGAATGGGGCCTCCAGCACAGAAACACGTCTGCGTGAGCAAACGCTGCTTTCCCGAAAGGAGTCTGAAAGCACCTCCTAGCAGACTCATGAGGTGAGGGTGGTGATTGGCTCTTGGTTCCGGAGAGATTAACAGATGCAAATGGAATTAACTGTTTTTAAAAATCATCAGTGCACACATAGACAATTCATTCTGAACACCTTCAGGTGGCAAAGAAGGCTAGTGAGAGCCACTCCCGTCGTGACAGCTACAGCGGCTGCGTCAGCCCTGCCAGGAGCTGGGACCCTGGGCCGGGCCTGTGGAGGACTCTGGCCCGCAGCCTCGGTGTCTGTTGGGCCTTTCTGTGCAGTGGTCGTAGATTGCCATTGCCACCTCCCTTTTGATGGAGCCAAGTCAGCCTGTGACAGGCCACCCGCTGTGGGCTTTGCCTTGTGGGCGTGTAGATGTAAAGTTAGCAGGAGACAAAGCAAAGCTTGTCTTTCATCTTTAATTTTTAAAGACTGAAAATTCAGTCGCTTCCTCTTCCCCTCTGACTTCTGGAAAGAGGAGCGGCCTGCCATCCCGGGAAGCCAGACGATGCTCAGCTGTGTCACTCCAGTGGTGTGTGAGAACTCTCCGGAACTGTCCCGCTGGTGGGAGAGAATGGAGGGACGCGATGAGCAGGTCCTTCGTGCCCAAGGCCTGGAGGTGGGCACTGCGTGCCCGCCCTCTGTCCCGGGTTGCCTGCTTGTCCTCTAGCTCCCGTGTTATGCCACTACCAGGGCAACATTAGCACTTCACATGAGAGCAGATGAGAATGTGGGCCTGTAGCCCGCTAGCACAGCAACAAAGTAACAGAGCGCTTTAGTCATTAAACTGAAAAACTTCCGAAACATGCGATTTTTTTAAAGATTTTAAGCTATGTAGATTAGCTTTTAAGACGTGAACGTGATGATTTAGATGCCACTGGATGAGTAGACACAGACGCTTGGGGGACTGAGACCGGCCTTATCTCAACTGCTCAAGAAAGAGCCAGCCTGGGTTCTCGCCCCAGCTACATGCACGCACACGAGACGCTCTCCTCCTCCTAAAGTCCACCTGAGATAGGACTCGCGATGCTGCTGGACACTTGTGTCTGCCAAAGAAGCACCTCTGTGCTGCCAAAGAAACCATTTTTGCTCATTGTCCTATATTCTTTTATGTGAAGATGCGGCAGCGCCTTCAACAAAGGAAGCTATTGATTGGCTGTAGCGCAAGCTTATTACTGCCTTTTGTTGCAATTATCTTTTTTTTTTTAAGTGAAAATGCACATCGGGTGGCCAGACTGAGTAATTTGTCATTGAAAACCACATTATAAATGCAGCTACTTCATTTTTTTAAAATGCCAAGTAAATCCAGCCATGGAGGCCCCTGCCAACATGGTCTTTTTTCTCATTCCCAGCAGTAAAGATTCCTCTCCCACTCTGGCTTCTAAAGTGGACCGACTGGAAGGTATGCTGAAGATGCTTCGGGAAGATTTGAAGAAGGTAAACTCATAGCCTCAAGACAAATTGCCCAGTTGGTGCAAACTGCCCTGGAACTGTATGAGCCCTTGTTAAGCCGTGTTAGTACAGTAAGATGTGGGTGCTTTCCCTGCTCTTGGGGCACACACTTTCAGGGGGCTGCCGGAGCTCACTTCCCACTGACCACGTAGTGCAAGAAGGCCCTCACTGCCACACGCACGGAAGACATGGCGCCCTGTGGCGACAGCCTTTGGACCTTGGCCAGCCGCCCCACCCCTTGTCTAGTCCAGATGGACCTGTCTTCACGGGTAGTACGCTTGCACACCCAGAGGTCTGAGTCTTGGTGGGTTTCTTGAAATGGATGTGACTGTTCTAAACAGCAGCCACCAAAACAGGTCTAAAATTGGAGATGGTCCTTATTAACAAAATAGTAAAATGCACAGCAGGACATTGACTTTCCCACGGACACCTGTAGTGAACCTTTGGGAATGCCAGGCCTGGGTCAGCTAGACTAGCTCACGCCCTGCACCAGGCCACGCACACCTGTGTAGTGGAGTGAAGAATGGAAATGGGCCAGGGGTCAGTCAGATGGCTACCTGAGGGCTGAGGACCCCCCGCCTTAGTTCTTTTCTGCTCTGCTCTACCTCCCAGGAAAAGGAAGACAAAGCCCACCTTCAGGCCGAAGTTCAGCACCTGCGCGAGGACAACCTGAGGCTGCAAGAAGAGTCCCAGAATGCCTCTGACAAGCTGAAGAAATTCACAGAATGGGTCTTCAATACCATAGACATGAGTTAGGGGAGGCTAGGTGGCCAGGAGGGGGTGCCCTCCCGTGCGAGTCTGGAAGCCCCTGGTCATGCCATTGAACGATTCTCCGAGTGCCCTCCCTGTGCCCTCCTTTGCCCTCCTTCAGGGAGGCACAACACAGTTGCAGATAACAATCATTATCTGCCTTTTGTAGAAAAGAAAACAAAAAAAAGTCAATAAAAATTTTAAAAAGTAAAATAAAAGTTTAACTGCTAAAATGTGAATGTCTTTATTTTTTTGCACAATTATCTTTATCTGTTATGTATTTAAAAAGAAACTGGGCCAGGGACCAGGGCCTCCCAGGCCCATGTGCCACTTTCTTACCTACTTCAGGTAACCCCAGCTTTCCCTCCTCATGCCAACAAATGTCATTATTCTAGGAATATAAAGTTTTTTAAAACTTTCTTTGGGGACGGGGAGGGTTCTTCCTCACTACTCCATTCCTAAAATGCCTGGAGAGGGAGGTGCTGAAAATGCCCGCCTCCCTTGAATGAGTTGTGCATGAGCTAGCGCTGTCTGTGTCCATCTACAGCCAAGACCTGCAGGACCGGGGTTACCCGTAGGGAGTGACCCCGAGCGAGGCGGAGTCTGTGCCTGCAGCCACGCTCCAGCTGTCCTCCCGCCCGCCCCGGGGAGACTGGCCCAGAGCTGAAGCCTGTCTTATTTCCTAAGCCCCACTAACTTGAAATCAGCCTCTCCACATTCATTGATATCAGAATTCTGCTAAACTAAAATCTTATTTGTACACATTTTGGTCAAAAGGACAGTTAAAAATAGAACAAATTAGGGTTTGTTAGCTGCTCAAAATTAACTATTATAAACAAATCAGTCCTTCTCTCCAAAGCAAGAATTCACCAGTATTGTAGCTAAAAGTAAATGTTGAATTGTGAATGTTATTACTTGCTTCGGAGCAATGACTATAACTAGAACGGGCTGTTGGTCCTGCATGTCCCAGTGTGCACCTGACGCACGGCATTTTCTGCATCTCTGTGTGGCCAGCCACAGGTGTCTGCTGCAGAAGTGATTGGGTGCTCTTTTTTTCCTAGTCTAGTGAGGCTGCTGCCTTGGACCCTGGGCCTTTGTTCCAAGGCCCTCAGTCCTGCAGAGCAGAGACACTGGCCCACTGGTGTTGAGAGCACCCAGGGGAGTCCCTGGCAGCCTTGTTTCTCACCTTCATAATCACCTCTAACCTGGTCCCTGATCCCCTCTGTGGCAACTCTGATCTAAGGGAACATGGAGAAATCTAGTGACAGCTGCTCAGAAGTTCCCTGTCCCAAGTCATCACAACTCGTTCCTCTCTCCATCCCTGAAAGACATGGGGATGATTTTCCTCTCTCCTCCCCATCTCTTACCTCCATCACCAAACTTTTATGCTACAGTTTCATTCATGATTGTGATTTCTCCATGGGATTTTTTTTTTCCTGGTGACATTCCTATCATGGAAATAGGAAGATTTCGGAGTGCTTTGTAAGGGTCTCCACTGTCTGGCTCTTCTCTCTGACTTGTATGAAGGAGATTGTACATGGCCCAATGTCTCTTTGTAAATGAGAACTCTGCTAACATCCGAGCATTCTGAAGTCTTGCTTGTCCATCTGAGTTTAGTTTTTATTTTGTTTTACTTTTGTTGGGGACTTGGGGCAAGCTATTTATTAGGTTTTGCAACAGAGTTCTTGTTTGAAGCCTTTAAAGACTACTTGTAAAATTCAAACAATAAAATTCATTTTAAATGCTCTTTTAAAATGCTTTTGTGTTATTGCTTGAGGGTCTCTGCTTTGAAAGCCCACCTCCCTGGTAGCCACCAGGCCCTGCTCATATAAAGGTGACTCATGAACATTTCTGTCCCTTTTAGAATTTGAATAAGCGCTTTTACTCGGTCCACATGTCCATAGAGAATTCCTGTGCTTCTCTGCTTATGATTTAATATTCTCAGAGTTCTTTATAATTAGTTCCCCCTTCATTATCCATGTGTGGATTTTCCATAACATTTTCATTCCCCGAGACCAACACATTTTTGGACTTCTCTACTGCATCTCTCAATGTTATATGTTGTGTGCTTGGGTAATACAAATGCCTGTTAATATTAGGCTGTGCAAAATATAATTAGAAAAGTTAATCTACTGAAAAAAAATCATAATGCATTCCAAAACCAAATAGGTCCAAATTTTTTGTATCTGCCACATCACTGTTCTTGTCCAGTGGTGCAGCTAATTGAGAGCTGACAGTAGAGTTTCTTCCCCTTATTTGCTTCAACAATTCTATAAATTCTAGAATTACAAGACAGGGTAACACGGTATGCCACCAGGTACTCTGATTAACAAGCTAAAGAGGTCTGTTTAGACCATGACTCTTACCTGGTTTGAACAGCTTGCATAATTTCTGAACCACTTGCCTCGTGGATTGGAAGGTGCTGGGAAAGGGTGCTGTCGGCCTTGCTTGGTGTAGGGCCTTCATCAGTCAGCTGACCGGAGGGACTAGTGGGTTGTGCTCCATCTCTGCTGTGGGTGATAAACAGATTGGGTTGGATTACATTTTTTTTTCCATTTATTTATTGAAATAGCACTGCATTATAAGTTTTAGGTGTATATCAAAAACCAATGTCTGCATAATACTAAAAGCTCACTGAAAGTCCAGTTCTGTCCTTTAGCATACACTGAACCCCTTTTACTTGACTGACCTGTCCCCTCCTCTCTTCGGGTGGCTACTAATTTGGTCTCGTAGTCTACAATTTTGTTTCGTTTAGTTTGCTTTTTCTCTATCACATATGAATAAAATCATACAGTGCTTATTATTATTCCCTTTTAGAGACAAAAGTGATAGCCCAAGAGCCAAGGAAACATGCCAGCAAGCTTAAGCCTTTTGCTGCTAATCAAATCGTACAGTGATGGCTTAAACACATTACAATGTCATGTATAATGTTGCAGCAATTTTGGTGCTTCTTCCCAGAATGAGTGAAATTGAGATGGAAGAACAAGATAGCAGGCACGCATTGGTCAAAAACATGTAGCCAGTAACAACTTGAACCTTATTATACATGAACTGTGTAATTTTAAAAGAATGATACCACAGTAATTCTAGCTATCTTTTCCCTATATGAGTTATGCCACGAATAGCCATTTATAAGCAATCATCATACTCTGCTAGAAAGGGCATTTGGCATAGACTAAGGCTCAAAACCCGTCCAATACATAGCAGCTGTGATTTTAGGTAAATAACTTGATCTCGCTGAGTTTGGTTTCGCAGCTTGTAAAATAGTAACAGCTTCATATATTTTAAGAATTAAGTGAGATTTGAGAGATTTACTGTAATACCTATCAAAACACTAATGACATTTTTTAAGGAAACAGAACAAACAATTATCAAATTTATATGGGCCCCTAATAGCCAAAACAATCTTGAGAGAAAAGAAAAATGGAAGCATCAAACTTCCAGGCACCAAACAATATTATATAATAACAGTAATCAAAGCAGTATGGTACTCAAACAGAAATACAAAGTCAGACCAATGGAACAGAGTTAAAAGCCCAGAGATAAGTTCACATAAATATGGACAGCAGATTTTCAATAAAGGAATTATCTTTTCATTCCGTGTAGAAAAGATAGCATTTTTAACAAGTGGTGCTGAGAAACCTGGATAAACACATGCAAAAAAATAAAGACCCATATAACTCAAAATGGATTATAGATTTGGGCATAAGAATCAAAAGCAAAGTCTCAAAGGAAGATATAGGAGACACACTAGAAAACATCGACCACAAAGCTGTACTTAGGAATACAACCCCAATAGCAAGGGCAAAAAAGCAAAACTAAACAAGTGGGATTATTATCTCAAAAGAGTTTGTTCCTCAAAAAAAAAAAATCACAAAGGCAAGGAAACCTATAGAATGAAAAAAAAAGGTTGCATACCATTCATCTGACAAATGGTTAATTTCCAAAATTTTAAGTACTTTTACAATCTAAAAACAAAGAAACCAAAGACCCAATTTAAAAAATGAGGAAAAGGACCTCAACAGACACTTTTGTAAAGAAGACATTCTACAAACATGGAAAAAATGTTCAACATCATTTACAAGGGAAATGCAAATTACTATTCCATTGAAATACTGCCTCACCCCTGTGAGAATGACCCATATGAAAAAGAATAGTAATAACAAATGTTGGTGAGGTAGTGATAAAAAAAAAAAAAAAAAAGGATTCTCTTATACTGTTGGTGGGAAAGCCAGTTGGTACAACCCCTGTGGAAAATGGTATGGATATGCCTCAAGAAAATAAAAAGGGAAATCTCACTTGACCCAGCAATATTGCTAGCATGAAAAAGATCTTTCTACACAAAAGTAATTGGTAACACTGTTTACAATTGCCAAATCATGGGACTAAACCAAGTGTCTTTCAATAGATAAATGGATAGAGAAACTGGTGCATATATTTGGTGGAATATTACACAGCTGTAAAAAAGGTGAAATGGCATTTGAGGTAATTATGTCACGTGAAATAGGTCAAAAAATGAAAGACTTCAGAAAATCATACTCATCTGCAGAATATAAATACTCTTAAATCAATTACATGCAAAGAATAGAAATAAAATTTGAGCTCACCAAGAAAGAAGATAATGGTTAACCAGGTGGAATAGGAAAAAGGTGAGGGGTGGGTAGGAGTTGGGGAATGAGGCAGATAGGTATGGGCATCAGTGGTTTGGTGGAGGCTGAAAAAATGGGGGGGACCATATGTGTAATACCAGTGACTGGTAAATTATGGGTTCTCTAAACATACCTACCCTTACCTTTGTTTCCCATATGTTAATACCTTATTGTTTTTCTAGGACTGAGTATCAATATATTCATGGAATATGATGAAATTAGAGTAAGTCTGTTCATTGTATTTAATCAGGCAGGTAGGTGCTTTTTAACCCTTTGCTGTCTGTTTTGCAATAATAACTTTCAAGCCTAAGCTTGCATCTGAGTCACCTGGGGGATTTGCTCAAGCACAACTCACTGGGTCACATCACCAGGATCAGTGATTTTGCAGGTCTGGGTTGTGATCTTAGTGTTTTCCAGGGAATGATTTAGAAGTAGGGCTTTTAAAGAATAGGATTCAAAGACTAGGAAGCTGTCCATTCCCACTAGTAATTAAAAGTAGACATTACATGGCACTTAACCATGTCCAGGAACCCAAGTTTTATTTTGACAGATTATTTTGACCTTGTAGGGGAAACCAGGCTTCACCGACAGCTAAAAGTTGAGTTTACTACGGTAAAAGAACTTATTTCTCTTTACTAAAAGGTCACTTACAGTCCTCTTTGCATGAAATTTTCTTCCGTTTTCATATTCGTGTGCTACCTGTGTGTCCTCCCCACCCTTAACGACAGGAGCCTGCTTAGCAGGTCAGTAGAAATGACCTCGGTGACAGCTTGGATGGCAGTGCTGCTGAGAGAGCAGAGCCTGGAATGGTGGAAGCGCCCCTTGGACAGGCCCTAAGAGGGTGGCCACATAGCGGCAGAGACTGGGGGCCTGGTTCCAGCTGGAGCGTGCAGCACCAAGCTCTGACTTCAGCGTCAGCCCAGTGGCTCAGCCCTGTCTCCCTGCGCCCACCCAACCTCGGCTTACTAGGCGAGGCAGTTCCCTGCCCCCCACAGACCTGCTCCAGACTGTTAGCAAATCTTCCCCTAATCATGCTGCATGCTGCGTAGCAGCCCACTTGCTCTGCTCTGGCCAGAGAAAAGGAAAGATTATCATCGGTATCTATTAAATAAACCGCTGCTGGTCAGCTTCTGCAAAAATCATTCTAACCTTGGTCTTATTTTCTGCTGCTCTCACCTCTTACTGGTCTCTCTGCAGCTCTCCGGCCTCTCCCCAAGCCTGGTAGCCATGTGCTCCCGTGGCTCCTTGTCAGATCAGCCACAAGGTCCTCCAGCCTTTCAAACCAAGTATTTCCTCATCTTGCATTCGAGGCCCTGAGTCATCACACCTGAGACCCAAGACAGCTTTAACCTTTGCCTTCTCTCATTACACCTCTCATAATACCCCGCTAGCTCACCTTTAGTTCTGGAACATGCATAGCTCAAATTTCTTCTAAATGAGCACAGTTCATTATGCCTCTTAAACAGCTCCTCTGCCAGACACTTAAACCTACGAGTCTGCATTATCCTCTTAATATGTATACCGATGACCCATTCGCAGCCTGAATCACCTCGCATCCAGAATACCCCAAACTCAGGTCCTGTACTCGGTACCTCTTAACAGATGCTTCCTTAAGAGGCCTGGTCACAAGCACCTACCTTAACCACAGTTCTGTGTCCTTGAAACACACTGATGTCTCTACACATTTTTAAACATATTGGTGGCCCACCTTGGATCTCAGTGAGCAACATACACACACACACACACACACACACACATATACGTTCCCCAGTGCATTTCTGTCATCCAGCATTTCAAACAGCTATCCACCAATAAAATCCAGTACCATCCACCAAAGTAGAAAAGGCTCAGGAGAGCATGAATTCTCCAGGTCAGCGCCGACCCTCCACTGCCTCCTGCCTTCCATGCTCTGAGCTCACAGCCTCCCTAGCAGATAACGTTTGAGTTGGTTTTCTGGGATCACATCACCAAGCCATTTCCTTCTCCAACCCCAGCTTCCCACCATGCACACTCTCTAACACCTATCTTGTATTCCTGTGAGTTAAAACACTCAGAAAATGCATTTTAAAGACATTTTTCCAAGTTCAAAT